TAACTATAGAGACAGGTTGCGCAAGGAAAGTTACAAGGGTAAAGACGTTACTACCCAGCTTCTACATTTGGCTAGAGCAGCAGTTATATAGTTTATACAGATGTCGTTCCGGACACAAATGCGTTGACACACATATTAATGGCTCATCCTGATTCAGTCAGACTATTCCGGACATATTACTGGTATGTCGGCATAGATTCCACCTACAAAACCAACAAGTGTATTAATTTATAAATACGTTATTAGTATGAATTTAAACTAATTTGTTCGATTAAATTTTATGTGATTATATTTTTTATCTTTTGGTCTCATTTGCACAGGTACAAGATGCCGTTGGTCGAGATGATTGGCATGACTCTGTGCAACAATAACTTCATGATTGCGTATGCACTCATGAAGGACGAGAAAGAGGCTAGTTATGACTGGGTTCTCTATAAGCTGAGACTTCTGCTAGGCTCTAAGGTAAGGATAAAATATTTATTTAATTAGTAATAAAAGTATTTTGTGCAATATAGTAAAATATTTCAGCATTTTTTGCTCTGTCTCATTAATATTTATGTATCGCCGCTGCTCAGGTATATCCTAATGCGGTTGTCACTGACAGAGAGTTGGGCTCAATGACTCCTATTAGGAGGAACTTTCCTCAGTCTGCCCACTTACTCTGCACGTGGCACATCAACAAGGACGTGGAAGACATAGTCTACATGCTGCTTGGAAAATAAAAAATTAGCTCATAGTTTCTTGCGCGGTAGGTGGAAGGCGATTGCCGAGCCAGTACGTTTGATGAGTACGACGTTGCCATAGCTCAATTGCGTGCAAAATACCGGAATGCCCCACAAGTGTTACAATATGTCGAGCAGACATGGGTAGTCCACAAGGAGAAGTTTGTGAAAGCTTGGACTAATCGGGTAACACATTTTGGCAACACAACTTCATGTAGGGTGGAGAGTGCACACTCTATGTTGAAGCAGTGGCTTCACATGTCAACCGGCACGCTCGATACAGTGTGGCAGAAGATTGATGTGGAGATCAAGTCCCAGATGACTGAAATAAGGTACATTCCTTATTTTTAACCGTGTTATTTCGTTTCACATGTATTAGCATTCTGGGTATTTCGTTTTAGTTTCGATTTTTTATTTATGAAAATAAATATAAATAAAAAAAAAGTCGACTGAAATGTAATATATAAAAATATATTTTATTTAATATTTATATATTATTTATATAAACAAACACTATTATTAAAAATTAAACATTAACAAATACTAAATATATTTTTGTATATATATAATTAAATTGATAAAAGCACAATAATGTTATTACTACATTAATTATTATATAATGTTTTGTAACTTATTACCAAGACAACGCTTGAGTCTTCGAGACTTAGGAGGAGTACGAGGTTTACGAGATTCCCTCGCGTGCTTGACACTGAGGGTCTCGCATTACTGTCTGGACATATTGAACTCTGAGCTGACGAGGATGCGAGACTTGAGCTATGAAGTTTACGAGTGCTGCGGTTGTGTATTGTTTACCACTCATGTAATTCCTTGTGCATGTATGCTTCGTACGACATCTGATTCTAACCTTTCGATTAAATTGGATGCTATCCACGAGTTTCGGAGGACACTAGAGATGTTACAACCATGTAATTTAAGGTTAATATTTCATTTACAATTTCTACTTTCTGATTCATTGTTAATTACAAATTAAAGTACATTTCGTTGTTAGATTCTTTGAATTTTTTTACCGTACACTTGTAGGGACAGGTCACCAGAGCCAGGATAACCAGATGTAGGATAACCAGAGTGCATGGGTAGATGTTGATGTATTTCGGACGTTTGTCCAAAAGGTTGAAATGGGTGATCCTGCGATGATTCGCTACATGAATCACCTCATGTACGGTCAGCTTTACCCAGACCGACAAGCTTATGCAGAACCTGAGGTTAAGGAAAATATGCGAGATCGTCCCAAGAAAACCGATTCAACTAAGCGTAAACCATCGCACTGGGAGTACAAGGATAATTCGCGAGGTCGTCCAGTGGGCCGTACAACCACTTCTTCGCGTGGACCGACAAACAACCAATCTTCTCAACCGTCACAAGAGGCACCACAAGGTGACATATTTTTTTTTTATACAACTGAACATTAATTAAAGTGTTAATATAAATTATATTATATAAATTGTGACGTGAAATTATCATGATGTTTCAGCTGGTACGTCGACAAATATATTTAGTTTTTAATACCGGAATAGTATTCCCTGGCATATGTTGGACCACGTAGTGAGCTACTTGAATGTGACCGTGGATGGAAACTGTGGATTTCGGGTTATAGCGAGTTACATTTACGGGGACCAGGAGATATGGCAACTAGTACGAGAGAACCTTGCTAATGAGATTTACGTCCATTGTGACTTGTATGAGTATATCTATTTCAGGGATATCGACACCAATCTCGGTCGAATAAGGTGGGATGGGGGCCCATGTGGCCAACATCATTGGATGGATACTTCATTCGACCTCTACCCTGTCGCAACTCTATTTAATACTGCTGTCATTTTGTTATGCTCTGGTAGTGATGGTCGTCAGTGCAACCAGTTAAGTTGCACAGTATTGCCGCTCTCTGCACCATCAACAGCTACATGACCACGACGTGAGATTGCGATGTGTCATCTTGGTTGCTACGCACACTACATTCATGTAGATTTGGCTCCTGATTGTCCATTACCGCCTATTCATCCTTTCTGGTTCAGGTACCGAACTACTTCAGTTCAGGTTTG